GTAGGTGGTGTCGGGTTTATCGTTCACAAGTCCCTCGTCAACAACGTGCTGACCATCGGTAGTGTTTCGAGCAGAGTAGCGTACTTGGTACTCAGAATATCATCACGATATTCGATGACTGTCATCCAAGTCTACGCTCCAACCTCGAAACACACCGATGACGAAGTGGAGGCTATCTATGAGAAGATCTCTCGGGCCATGCATAGCCACAAAACCCATTACACGATTGTGATGGGGGATTTCAATGCAAAGTTGGGGAAACGTTGCGGCGACGAGCTGAGAGTGGGGCAATTTGGATTTGGGGAACGGAACGACAGGGGCCAGATGCTGACGGACTTTATGGAGAGGGAGAACCTCTATATGATGAACTCCTTCTTCAGAAAGCCCGTCACCCGCAAATGGACCTGGATAAGTCCCGGCGGCAAGGTCAAAAATGAGATTGATTTTATCATGTCGACGAAGAAGCAAATATTCAATGATGTCTCAATGATCACCGCTGTTAAGACAGGAAGCGATCACCGCATGGTAAGAGGCACATTGAATATCAACGTTAAGCTTGAAAGATCGCGACTGATAAAATCAACGCTCCGACCGGTGCCAGCCCAAATTCAAAACCCCGAGCGCTTTCAGCTCGAGCTCCAGAACCGCTTCGAGTACCTTGAGAACAGCATAGACGTGGACGATCTGAACGACCTGGTGGTGGATACTGTCCGTACGGTAGGGTCTAAACACTTTAAAACCCGCCGTACCAAATTAAAGAAACTCTCCGCATACAGACACGAACTCATGGATAAGAGACATGAAATGAGACTACAGGACTCAGCGGATGCCCTTCGTTATAGACAGCTAATAGATAGATCTCGAAGCGACCTTCGCCACTTTAATACGGAGCGTATTAAAGAGGCCATAGAACGGAACAAAGGCTCCAAAGTGTTCGCTAGAGATCTGTCTATTGGGCAAAGTCAACTGACGAGGCTGAAAACTGAGGACGGTAGTATCATTTCATCGACTCCTGAAATCCTGAGGGAGATTGAGAGTTTCTATAGGCAGTTATATTCCAGCAGAACACCAGGCGAAAGTAGAGCTCGAGATCCTAGAGCCAAGCTTACCCGACATTATACAGAGGATATCCCAGACTTAAAAACAACAAGGCTGCGGGAGATGACGGCATCACAACAGAGCTTCTGAGAGCGGGCGGTACGCCGGTACTTAAAGTCCTCCAGAAGCTCTTCAACTCCATCATCCACTAGGGCAAAACGCCGAAGGCATGGAGCAGAAGCGAGGTGATTTTGTTCTTCAAAAAGGGCGATAAGACCCTACTGAAGAACTACAGACCCATCTCGCTTCTGAGCCATATCTACAAGTGTTTTCGAGGGTCATTACAAATCGTCTCGCTCGCAGGCTCGACGACTTCCAGCCTCCCGAACAAGCCGGTTTCCGAAAAGGCTTTAGTACCATAGACCACATCCATACGCTGCGGCAGATTATACAGAAGACCGAAGAGTATAATCGGCCACTTTGCTTAGCGTTTGTGGACTATGAGAAGGCCTTCGATTCGATCGAGACCTGGGCGGTGCTGCAGTCTCTCCAGAGGTGCCAAGTGAACTACAGGTATATCGAAGTGTTGAAGTGCCTATACCAAAACGCCACTATGTCGGTCCGAGTACAGAATCAGAGCTCTAATCCTATCCAACTACAGCGAGGGGTGAGACAGGGAGACGTTTTATCTCCGAAACTGTTCACTACTGCGATGGAGGATATTTTTAAACTTCTGGACTGGAAAGGACTCGGCATTAACATCAACGGCGAGTACCTGACACACCTTCGATTTGCCGATGACGTAGTCCTAATGGCGGAGACCTTGGAAGACCTGAACACCATGCTCGAGCATCTCAATGACGCATCCCAGCGAGTGGGTCTTAAGATGAACATGGACAAGACGAAAATTATGTCCAACACCCATGTTGCACCCGCTCCAGTTAATGTTGGGAACGTTACACTTGAAGTTGTTGATCACTACGTTTACCTAAGACACACAATCCAGTTAGGTAAGTCTAACTTCGAGAAAGAGATCTCTCGTCGAATCCAACTCGGATGGGCAGCGTTCGGGAAGCTGCGGAACATCTTCGCGTCCAAAATACCTCAGTGCCTTAAGACAAAAGTCTTTAACCAGTGTGTGTTGCCAGTGATGACCTATGGCAGTGAGGCGTGGTCGTTTACTATGGGTCTCATAGGACGGCGCAAGGTCGCCCAGCGGGCAATGGAGAGAGCTATGCTTGGTATTTCCCTGCGTGATCGAGTCAGAAATGACGAGAAATCCGTAGGAGAACTAAAGTCACCGACATAGCTCGAAGAATAGCCCAGCTGAAGTTGCAGTGGGCGGGACACATAGCGAGGAGAACCGATGGCCGTTGGGGCGGAAAGGTTTTCGAATGGCGACCGCGTGCCGGACGACGCTCAGTGGGAAAACCCGCTACAAGGTGGACCGACGATCTGGTGAAGGTCGCGGGAAAACGCTGGATGCGGGCAGTGCAGGACCGATCGTTGTGGAGATCCTTGGGGGAGGCCTATGTCCAGCAGTGGGCATCGTACGGCTGATATGATGATGATGATGATGTGCTACGCTATTGCGAGAGAAAGAATTAAAATCTGCTCACACCAAAATTTGCCTATACAATTGCCTTGTTAGATCGATAGTTGAATATTGTAGCCCTGTTTGGACACCGTTCTACGATATACACAAAAAGAGAAATGAATCACTCAATAAAAGGTTTCTCTGGCATTTAGCTTTCCAGTGTCAAAAAACTAACGAACTCACTTTTTATAAAAAACGTTTAGATTACTTTAAGCTATTAAGTTTGAACGACCGTAGAAAAGTCGCAGATTTAAAATTTCTTTATAAATTAGTGAACGGTCATTTAGACTGTCCTTTTCTGTTAGCTAATATAAAATATCATTTACCACATAACTTACCGCGATCATCTAATTACAAATTATTTATGCCCAAGATATTCAAATCTAATTTAGGTCACTTTTCGTCACTGTGTCGTATGCAATCATATTACAATAAAATGTCTAATGCCTCCAATCTAGACCTATTTAGTGACTATGGTGAATTTGTAAAAAATGTTGCTGCCATCTGTCATCAATCAAACATAAAAAATTTTGCTCCGGCTTAGCATAATAAGCATTGTATTATAATATTGTAGTGTCTCCTGATTTCTTGCTGCACAATCGTTCTGTCGTATTGGATATGTTCAATGTAACAACAACATGTTTGTGAATATTATGCATAATTATTTCTTTTTATACTTTTATAATTTTGTTAAGAATGCACACTGTCATTATTGTCACACAAATGCATGCCGTGGCAGCCTATCATTAAGATACCACTTGAATTGTCACTCATCTCTGTTCGCTTTTACAATAAAGTTCCAAGCAATATTCAAGAGTTAAGCATGACTAAATTTAAATCGACCATTAAAAAATCACTAGTTAAGAAAGCATATTATAAAGTGTCTGATTATATTACAGACAAAAATGCTTGGGTATGAACTGTTCCAACCATTCCAACGGGTATTTCTATATGATTTAAATTATGTGTTGACAATACTATAATTAAACTGAAAGCTGTATATAAAGTTGATAACTTAAGTAAGATTATCAGACTGTTTAAGAATATTTGATTGACAAAACGGCGTGGTCGTGATTTATCCTTTGCTTTGTTTTGTAATTGTTTGTTGTGTCTTACAGGTAAATGACCTTAATTTAAGTAAATATGTTGTAGTTAGTATGGGTAGTTATGGGTAGTCATGCTCTCATAATAGTCTCTTCGGCGGTGTCGTGTGAGGCGGGTCGTTACGTTCCCTAAAATATGGTTGAGCGAAGCGATGGCTGGTTCATGCGTCATGCTCGTGAACGGGTGCTGCCAGCGGAGATGAGTCTGCCCTAACTTCCTTAATATTTAAGTTAATGTTTAGTCACACTGAATATAAATAACACTATTTGTATTTATACTGTATGACACAGCAATCAAAAAGCAGGTAAACAATTAATGTATATTTAATAATTATGTAATGAAAAGTGACTTCATGAATCACCTCTGAAGTCATTTTTCAATTTGACGACTCTGTAAATAATAAAACAGGGAGAAAAAAACAGCCCTTGCTGAGTTTCTTGCCGGTTCTTCTCAGTACAAGGTCTCCCGCTGTAGATTTACGAACCGATGGCGTAGCTTCTAGTAGTACCCTTCGTACGCGAATCCGAGACGCTATTGGTAGGTTTTTATTTTTAAAATACCTTGCTCATATTGAGTTTAGGTCTTGCGCCACCACTGTATACAAGTGACTGTAGAAACTATGAAGAAAGAAATACCCTACATAACGCTCGCAAACTAATCAAAGACTGGTATCGGTGAACCCGACCAAAACAGAGATGGTTATGTTCACTAAGAAACAACGTTCTGTATGATAAAAGCTAGCTTGCTCTAAAGTCCGATGTTTAGTGTTCATAGAAACTTTAATATTGCGATACTTTACGGAGCTGTGAAAAATTCGTGCTTGGCTTCTGATCGAAAACAGCTATTTAAAACGTTTATGCTTACTTCTGTTACGTAACGATATATTGAAGACCTCCGAGGCCGAGTGGTTTGTACGCCCAGTTTCATGGTGTCGCCGACTTGAGAGGTCCCGGGCGCCCGCTCGAATACGAGCATTTATACTCCAGTCATGGATGTTTAATATTTATTTCTATATAAATATACATATATATACACAGTATATGTATTCTATCCGTTAACCTAGTATCCCATAACCCAAGCCCTACAGTGTTTACTTTGGGACTAGGCTAATTGGTGTGTGTCGGAAATATTTATTTATTTTATTACGACGACAGTTTAAAACGTTTTCTATAATTATGTCACTTGAACTTAGGACAGCAAAATAAATTGAAATTATTAAATTTGAAATATTTTATTGTGAAACTTAGTAAAACAGTATTTACACACCTCGTACACATTTTATTAAATAATGCTATATTTATAATAAATGTAGTAAATAATTATCTTTGTTGACTATCAGTTTTAGTACGATTTTGTACTATTGATTGTCTCAATACAGCAATGTAAGAAGATATTAGGTCATCCATTTTGTACCCTAAGGAAGTTTCACACAGTATTTTTGTACCTCGGAGGAAATTCCCCATTGTCATATGGAAAAATGTATTTCCAGAGGACCAGTTTGAGAGTTGAGAAAATGGATGAGTCACCAATACATCCTGCAAAACAAACATATTGTTAATAATTATGTTTAAATTGAGAATTTCATTGAAGTAGTTTGTTTTAAGTTGTGTAAAAAATAATACTTACCCGACTTTGAGGGTGAATAATACTAACTCCGTTTTTATTTATGCCAATTACAACCAGTTCGGGATAAGACGGATCAGAGGTTTGCTTAACTTCAAAGAATGCGGTACCGAAAGTTGGCAATTGATATATTTTATTAAGGAACTTCTCCTTAGCTTCAAAGTCAGACATATTATTGTGCTGTAAGTAAGCATTGCTTATACTAGTCTTCCATTGAGAATTTGATTGGATTTTAGCCATATCAGAAGGTATAAAATCTGTGAGTATGCTATCTATCTGCCGCAACATTGACTGGTCATTTCCAAATCGGGCTCGGTATACCAATGCAGCGAGTTCCACGAGATCCTGCTTCGAGGTTTTGTGATAACCTCGTAAATATTTAGGAAGTTCTTGAGGATAATAAAATATTTGGTCAGCATTTTTATCTTTTCCAGGAGCCGTATTGATCCATAACTTTTTCATAAAGAATATCTGGTAGTTTAATTGTACATTCGTTACAGCTGAAAGCAGATTTTTAATTTTAGATGATACCACATTTATAATTGCAGTTATTTTTAAATTATTGACATTAATCTTGATCAAATGAGTTAAAAACTTACCTCCGCGGATTGGTCGTGTCTGCTTCATCCATTCAACAAGTTCGTATACAAAGTCAAAGAAATAATAGTTTTCAGGAACAGAAAAGACTTTGTCTGCTATCTTTACAAATAAGCTAAATCCATCACTATTCTTTAAACTTAAACGACCGGTGATTTGTTCGCAGAGATCCTTTGCTTTAGTTGAAGACTCAACTTCGAATGCTTCATCTGTATCATCAGGGAAATATACTTTATGGTATATTTGCATACTTCGGTGTTGAATAGCTTCTACTTCTACGATATATGGTGCATATATTCTTGGTCCAGATTTCTGAATTCTAAAAACTCGTTTCAGGCAAACCTTAGCAATAGGATGCGGCCGACTCTTAAGAAATTCAACTAATTCTTTTTGTAATAACTGCCCGCAAGAAAATACTCCCGTTGCAAGCCACATTAATTCCCAGCCGCGTTCTTCACTTAATTGAATTCTATTATTTGTCAGTTGTTTCATTATCTGGCAATAGATTTCGTCTCGCAAAGTGGGTTCTGTCAAAGCTGCTCTAAATATTTCATCTGTATACTCAGTGACCGATCGTGCTTTCGGCGCAGGAATATCGCCCATGTATTTGAGAATTGCAAAGAAAGCAGCCACTGCACATTTTCCAATATTTTCATTGTCTTGTAGTTTCTTCAATAGTGGTTTCCGAATTGGTTCTCTAGTGTGGGCCCAAACATCGGGCGAGATCGCTTTCTTAGCGGTTGTTAAAATAGATTGTCGTGATATAGTCGCATTAGGGTCGATGTCCTCTCTAAAATTATCCTTAGAAAACTTTTCTAGAGTATGCATTCGCTTTCTCTGGATAGTATTATATTTTGATAGGGATTTCTTGTCATTGTTTATGTTACCTTTCTTGAATATCTCAAGTATTGTACTAGAAGGTTGTGTCATAGTAGGTATAATATATACTTGCTCGGTCGGGAATAGGCCTTCCTGACCATTACATTGACCATGACCCCAAGTAGAACTCAACAAAGTCTCTCCAGTACAATCTTGCAAAAGTATAATTAGATCACCTTTTTTGTATTCTAAGAAAGATGAAGCGTCGCTGTAACCTTGAGAATCAGATTGTGCCACAACATAAGATGATCGTCTCTTTAACCCATCTATCAAATAAATTATTAAGATACTCATTTCACTGGCTTCAATGCTTTGGAATACAAATTCTTCCTGTTGTATAGTACGTATAGTAATTTTTCCTAAGTTATCGTAATCTTTATCTTCTTGATATGCAACATATGTAACTTCAGCATAAGATATTTCAAGTAAAATATGTTCAAGCTGGTCGACAATATAAACACCAGTCCAATTAACAGCTATTATAACAATGTCTTTATTAATTGACTCTCCTTTTATTTTCATTGCTTCAAAAAATCGTGAAAATAACATAGGCCATTTTAATTTTGCAAATATTACAATATCTTCTTTGCATCTTAGTGGATCTACCTTAGATTGAATACTTTGAGAAGATTCAAATGCCTTAGTAACAAGATGTTCCCATTTCGTCAAAGCAGCATCATTTGATTGTAAAAATTGATTTGGTATGTAGTTAACAATAACTTTTCGCAATATATTTGGATCAATATTTGCACCAAATTCTACATAATGTTGCTGTGCTGCAATCATTGCTAAATCTCTTTCTGAATCACATCTATATTCACCAAACTTCACTCCTTTTGCTACTTGATAGTATATCAGATTTGTCGCTATGGGATCCTCCATCGGATTATGCCACGGTGTGAATATTTCTTTTCTGAAGAAAAGTCGCCAAGGTGCTTTCTTTTCTGGGGTTCCTTGTTCTTTGGCAAACTGTTCACATTGAGAGATTGCATCCATGATATGTTCACCTTCACTACCCAAAGATAGAACCTTATCATAAAGAGTAATGTAAAGTGAAAATCCAAACGTATCTGTTAAGCCAATATTTTCAGCAATTTGCTGACATGTTTCCTCTGAAGTTGTTGCTGAATCTGACTGTACTGTTTTCATTGATTCGTCCATAAGGGTAACAGTTAGCAAAATGGGTTTTTTAGTTTTCGTAGCTTGCAACTCTAACCAACTTGGTGGTTGTGTTCTTGAACCATTTTTGAAAGTCCTTACCAGTCTACCTTCGCAATATGGAGCATAACCGGGGGGGCCTTCACGAATGAAAGATCTTAAATACTTTACGAATCGTTCTGATGGCGGAAAACAACCCACGCATAATGATAAAAGTATCCAACCTCGAGCATGTGATGCCTTTGATGGATTGTTGGTAAGTTGCTTACACAACTGACAATATATTTCGTCCCTGTAATTAAAACTTGGATATTATTACATATAAATAATTGAACATCATTGATATTGTCTATATAGTATCATGTAATAATCACTTCTTGCTTCGGTAAAAATATACCTTACAAGACAAAATAAATTAAATTTTTGGCAATATTCAATTACTGGTAGTTAAAATGTTCAAATTATAACAAAGAAAATATTATAATATTTCAAAAACTTAGCAACTGAAATTATTAGTCAGAATGCAGTTGTAATATATAAAGTCAGCCTGTCTTTTGAGTTACAATGCATTTTAATTTAGCGACCTTTAATAATTAATTACTTTACCGTAAATTTCGGTAATTTTTAAAAAAAAACTATTCATATTATACTCTGTAAAATATCAGTAGTTATTCAATATTTACCTTAATTCTTTTCTTATAATACCATGTCCTATAATAAAATGCAATTTTTCCAAATTAGTACTTCGTCTTGAATTTAACCAACTATTATACATTTCATTTGTAACTTCATCATTTAATAAATTTTTCATGAAATCTTCATTTAATTTCGGTTGTCGTTTTAGTGTTTTCTGAATAATTTTATTTCTGTTTTGATGACCATCTTGCATTAATAATTCCTACATAACAAGGAATTATAATTAATAAAATTTACAATTATCTCAAGGGTGTAATTTAAACTATACATATCAATTCACCTAGACTGCGAAGAGATAAGTAGTTATATACTTACTTCAAACTCTTTGCTTTTGTGAAATGCTCGCCCGACGGTGTCTGTCAATTTTGCCATCACGGGTATATTATCAACCTTGTCATCTACGTATTTTGGTTCCGACAGATCTCCCATGAATCTGAGAATAGTTATCCAAAGGGCTTGGGCAGCCTTTACATCAATAGGTGACGGTAGTTCCAAAAGAGAATCCTTTAGTGGTCGGCGAGAATACAAATGACTCATGTTGCCTTTGAAGTAAGTAGCAACAAATTTTCTAAAATTGAACTCATCAAACGTTTCTTCTTCAAGCTCTTGTGGGAGAGGTAATACACTTGCTATTTCTGGTTTGGTAGTTTTAGTCTGAAATTAATAGCAGTGTTATTATGTATACAATTATTTGTGTAATTAATCCAATCTGAATTTGCACTTATTTACGAATTATTGTTTATTCGTACTTACCACGCCAAATCCTGTTCCACGAACGGTTCCGGCTGGCGTTGTAGTGTCCTTTAAGAAATCAAATACATCATCCACATATCTATCATCTATCATAGTCGTATTCTGTACGTTATTTTCAATTGTAACATCCTTAATAATCCATATGGATCTCATGAGTTCTGAATACTTTTTCTCATAGTCGTCTTCTGCCTTGGTAATAGAGTTACCATTTCTAAGTAGCTTCTCTTTGTCTTCTTTGAATTCTAATAATTTTGAACTAATTATGTGCCCTTTTTCTTTGACTAATTTTCTCACTAAATAGCCTCTAACATGAGCCTGTACTTTTGTCATGAATTTTCTTAAATTAACAAATGTCCTCCTTAATTCTCTCGACTTGATAGCTGCTTGCAAGCGTGAGTATCCCCGTTTCATTGTTAAATACCTCTTTCTAAAACCTCTTGCTCTAAAGTGTTTCTGAATAGCAATAGCAGCTTCCCGCATTTTGAGGAACCTTTGTCTGTTGATGAATCTCCTTGCATTCGCTTGCACTTTTATAACTGCTGTTATCAAAACTTTATGACGCAGTTCTTCGAGTATAGCGTCATGGGAATCTTTGAGAAAAACTTTTGTATGACCAAGGCGGTATTCTTGATCTTGCAAAACTTGAGTACAAATTTTTTTAGTAGCGTTTTTGCAGTCAGTCTTCTCAGCTGGAGGTATGCCGGGGACTATTAGTCGATATCGGTACACGAATTCCGCGTATGAATAACGAATGGGAAATCCTGCTTGTCGTATTTTTGCAGTCTCCATTAGCCCAGCATATCTTAATTGACGAACGCATAGATCTCTGTTCAACAACTGAAAACAAACAATTGGTGAGTTCGAACTTACTTAAATTATAGATATAAATTTGTTTCCCGTGTTGCGACTATACGCAGTTGTAACTTACTCTGGGTTTTTTGAAATCGTTAGGCTTAATGCATCGTACGAAAAATGGATGACAGGCGTATAATGTTTTCATCAAAGAATCCAGTGAAGTCTTGAATTGGTAGCTTAATGACACAGTTTTACGGCTACTATTTTGAGCTACTGGTGATATATGTGCTGCAAATAAATTCCTCAAAAAAGTGTTTCCGGAATCTAACATCAATTCTTTAATATCAGTTGTTAACATGTCTCGATTTTTATCCAGGAACCCTAAAATATATTTCGGATTAATTATTGATAGGACAACTGCATGATAAATAAAAAGTGTGGCAAATTACCTCCACTTAACTTATTAAAGGTATGTATGTGGATTCAGTTGCGAAGATAGCAGCTGGTGCAGCACGAAACTGTGCCACTCCAACCAATACTATCTTGCTGATCATAGCTATTAGATCATAGCGATTAGTTATATATAGTACTTTTATACATATAAATTTTTTCTTACCTTTTACATCATAATAAACATCTCCAGCAAAATGTTTTATACCAAATCTGTGGTCACGCGATGATTTAGGAGTAATGTAACAAGACCTTTCACTGTGATTTGACGTCAATTTGGTAAGAAGAGTTACATCAGTACCTTTTGGAAACTTTGACTCCTCATCGATCAATGCTAGCAAGTTCATGGGTTTCACTCCGATCATGTCCAGATTTTCTTGATTATCAACGTAATTAATATTATCCCATGTTATGCCTTCCTTTTCGTACTGCTCCTGCTCAAGTTTAAAAATGTGTCGCACAAAAAACTGCTGCAAATTTTCGTTAGCGTAATTAATGCACAGTTGCTCGAAACTATTTGAATCGAATTTTTCAAACCCAAAGATGTCTAGTATACCAACTGATCCACTCGATAATGTCTGGTCTTTATGCAATGTTTTATTGATCATTTCTACAATATATTCAAATATGTAACCATAAATGGATTTAACCAAAGCATCTCTTCCTTCTACAGCTGCTGACTGGGTTATGGTTGAAATAACTTTTTCACCTTGAATGACAATCGTTTTACGAGTTAAAGCATCACACAGGTTAGTCTTATTAACTCCCAATATCGCTGCAATGCGATTCGCATTTACAGCGTCGGCAACTTCTGATGATTCAATGTTATTAAAATTAAATGATTTGAATTTCATGTTTCCGAAATGTAATATTGAAGCAAGTAAACTCAAAATATCCCATACTTCTTCATCTGTAAAGTTAAGAACTTTAAAAGCAGATCTTATATCATTAAACTCTGCAATATCATTACGTCCATCGCAAGTAATAGTGTTGCCAGAATTCAAATACGTGTAATCTTCTGGTCGGCCTATTTCTAGTTTTTTTCTTTCATCACTTGTCAGACCCTTTACAAGACTGTAGAAAATATGATAATTTCTTTCTCCTTGATTCTGAAAAACTATTCTTGATTTTTCCAACAAATATTGATCAATATTTCCTCCTTCGATAGCACCTTTTCTACTAAAATATATGTTGATATATTTCCCAAACCTTGAAGAATTGTCATTCCGAACCGTCTTGGCGTTTCCAAATGCTTCTAATATGGGATTTGTTTCTTGTATTTGTTGTTCAATCCATGAGTGCTTCCCACTAGCAGCAGCTAAATATTGCAGCAGGAGTTTTGTGCTTTCGGTTTTTCCAGCGCCACTCTCTCCACTACAATAATAATAATAGTTTTTATTTTATTTCACGATCCATACTTAGATGAAAAAAATGTGTGTAGTAGTATTATGTTAAAATTAATAAATAACAAGAACTTATGTTAGCTTTTGGTAATGAATGACGTATGAAAGTACCTGATGTTAGCTACGATATTCAATAGTTGTATTAAAATGGGCTGTTTTCTTGACTTAATGATATATTCGCAATCTTGCGGACTTTAGACCATTTAGAGAATGGAGAACTTTCAGTTTTTAGCACAATATTTTATTTATAAACGATTAAATAAGCACTTTAATTATATATGCACTTTAATTTAGAATCAGCGTAGCGAAATACTTTGACGAAGTTGGAAACAATAAATAACTGACCTTAATGTATAAATTTCTCACCATAGTCGAGCTGGGTGGGATAAGATGGAGTTTAATTTGAAAGCTCAAAAAGAAAGATGTATCTCAAGGTTCTGCTGTCAGACTTTTGTTCTTCTTAATATTGAAATATTGGATGCGTATCAAAAGAGATGGATTTATTTCAGAAATCAGCAAGGAAGATCAAAACGACCCCATCAGCATAAGCAATGATCTTAATCTGTTATAATGTAGCTTCAAAACAGCAATATCTGTATTCGTCTAACACCCAATATCTATAGCAGAAGGATGGGAAGACTTGAAAACAAACAATGCATCCATATTTCTATAATAATAAGATATACTTGACTCGACAAGCAGGAAAGTCCACACTTGGTGGATACTTTGGCAGCAACAGAAAGAGACCTCCCAAATAGTAAAAAAAAAAAACATTTTGATAACAGATATTTGATTTTAACGATTGACATTATTTATAAATCAGTCAATTAAAAGTCAACATCAAAACTGTTTTTTATCTGATTAAGATTATGTATCTACTTACCTAATTACTATACATTGATTCGATGATGTATCTAATAGTTCCTTATAAGAATTCTCCCCAATTGCGAATATGTGAGGTGGTACTTCACTAACGTTCCTTCCTTGGTAAAATTGGATCTGATCCATGGTATAAATAGGCAAAATTTCATAAGGATTGATTGCTATTAACATGGTGCCTGTGTATGTCTGTAAAAATCAAGAAATCAATTATGTATCATGCTGTGTAGAAATAAAATTTTATATTTTAATTAAAAAACATATTGTTGTTATATTTTTATTTTTTAAGCATTAATCAATCTCTAATATTAATAAGCATATATAAATCTAAAGAAAATTTTACTAGAAAAAAATCCACGCGGACCAAGCAGCGGACGGGAAACATATTGTTTTTAGAATGACGTCACTTAGGTAACCATCAAACTAAACATGTAGGCATAATTTCATCTCAATTGCTGGATGATAAAGATGAATACTATAACATTGAGATGCAAGTTATGACCCGCACATACATACCTGCTTACATTACAAGTTAAATGGAAGACTAATTTTTAGCTTAGAAAATCTGACCACTTATTAAACTTGGAGTAAAATAAAATATCTAACAAAAATTTAAATTAATTTTACTTATGAGTTTATGACTCAATTGGACGTACCTACTTTAGTTTAAAATTCGAGTGGCTAAACACAGATTTTTAAAGTAACCCCATATCGTTTAACTTTGAGTGGCTAAAGACAGATTTTCAAAGTACGAGGACCACGTTTACGAAACCTGATAAGGTCAATGAATCTAGGAATGTCTACAGTGCCTTCGTTGTTATTGTCTTCCATTGTACAAGAGTACTACCCAAGGTGGCCGTGCCTCTGGCTTCAGATTAGATAGCTGATGAACTTAAGGTGATTCTCACACTGCCCCGCACTACGCTGCGGGGTGCAGATCTGCACCGTCGTGCAGATTTCGCCCTACATACTCGTGTTTCACTGTATGTAGGCGCTTAATCTGCAACACTGCACGTGAATGTGTTTCGAGTGATGATGATGCAAAAAATTAATCAAGAAATTACTTACGTATATGTGCTGTTGGATGTACCGTATATGCAAATTACGCAAGATCGTATATTCTTGCAATTCTCCTAATGTAATCATATCTTCAACTCCTGTTATGGAGGTCGCATGCAACGGTTTGATGACGTTATTGATGGAGGTGATGTAGATCTTGCCGTCATCATCTTGCACTCGTACCTTGCCATCACCGCTTTGGAGAACCTTCACTGCTACTGGGATGTCAAACTCAGTATTCCCTTCTGGTTTCACCCACACTAAATTCTAGAAATTAAAGACGATTATAATTTAACTTTGAAAACGCAATAATGCATTATTTAGATCTAGATTGTAGTAAACAATAAGTTAGTACTAATATCGCGTAGACTTGATTCTGAGAGTAAGATTTTGATACTTGATGTGATTTTATTAATAAGCAATAACAATTCCTCAGTTGAAGTGTAGATATTTCATGCTTTTTTTAGGCCTTGTTCAGACGACACGCGCACGTTTCCTATTCGTAAGCCACGTGTCAGCAGCCGCGTCTAAAACGCTTTGAAACAAAATTGTCTACTTCTAATTTCAGTCTTATGACATAACAATAAACCTCAAAATTCATTTATCGAAATCCAACCACGCCCGCCTCGCATACGCCGATATGTCTAAAAGGCCCAAATTTTATGGAAGCAATCCATCACAATGAGGAGCTCGATGGCGCAGGTGGATAGCGCGTTCAGCTGTGATCGTTGAAGTAAAGCAACTTTCGTAGTGGTCGGTCATTGGATGGGTGACCAAAAATCTTCTATCTTGAGTTCCTCCGTCTTTCGGAAGGCACGTTAAGCCGTTGGTCCCGGCTGCATCTGAAGTCGTTAGCACCCGCCAATCCGCACTGAGCCCGCGTGGTGGGTCATGGCCCAATCTCCCTATTCCATCCATAGGGAAGGCCTGTGCCCCAACAGTGGGTACATTAATAAGCTGATGATGAATGCATCATTCGCCTTGCACCCGAGCTTGAAAAAAGATGACACATGCGGGTCCTCGGATTGGTCGGCGCGGCTCATCGGAACACGCCCTTATAATGTACCTATTAAATTAAAGAAAAAATTGTTCAGACAGTGCACTATGCAACTCAATAGGAGGTCTGACGCGATCCGTGGTGGAGTGGTATGAACACCGGTGTTCAAGGTGTCGCTTACTCGGACAGAGGTCCTAATGAGTTCTAATACGAGTTTTATATGTATTTCTCGTATATTATTATGTACTTATACTGTATATGTATTCTACCCGCTACCCTAGTATCCCATAACACAAGCCTTACAGTGCTTACTTTGGGGCTAGGCTAATTGGTGTAAGTGTTGGAAATATTTATTTATATTTATTTATATTTATTAAATATTTATTTATTTTAACTCGTATCTGCCACCATGCTTGGTATGGTTTCGTAGCCAATCTCTTATCTTAACAACTGATACTGAACCCAGCCGTGAAAAATAATAACAGTGCACTCAATAAAATCAGAGACCACAAAAAAGAAATACAAATAAGAGGAAGAATTAGAATATAGCGAGGTGACTAAGCAATTAAAAAAAAAGCGTGTCAACGAATAAGTGGCAAAAAATCTATTGGTTATAACTTTTAATGAAAATTGGGTCCACAGAATAATATAAAAATCATACCCCTTTATTAGGGTACGGAACAGAATGGAATATAACCCAATGAGAACGCTCTATGCGGCCCGGTGAGTGTTAATCACCGAAATACGCCATCGTCATCACGATCTATACGGTTTGTTGGTCTGAAGATAATGGATGAAGTTATACTGCAAAACTTAAAACTTACTGCTAGCTCTATTCGACCCGCCATCTTGAACCACTTTTGAGATTCACTTTATAGTTTTATTCATACTTAACACAATATTTTAGCGTTTGCGCAGTAAGTGGTGCATGTAATGTGCTAGCAAAGACTGAACTAGCAAACACTTATCATTATTATCAATAGATAGGTAGTAAAGCGCACATACATACACTAAGGTATTACGAAAAAATTCAAGATAATCTTATAGATACCAAATCGACGTTTGAAAATTAATCAAAATTATGTAGTGAATCAGATTAAGGTACTTAAAAGTACAAAAGAAAGTACCTAAGTTTTAATCGGAACTCAAATTAAGTTAAAATATTTTTATTTCCATGGTAGGTAACTCTACCTAGAACTACACAATTTTTTTTTTTAATCTATAATTCTAATCCTGCGATAGATACGATAATAAGAAGCTTATTAAATAAATTGCACAGTAAAGAAATTCGAAATGAAACCCCCACACCTCTAAACAATCTTATGGCACCCACCAATCACTACTCTTACTTTTTTCACGACACACTTCGATTAACAATGTTAGTATTGTTGATTGTAGACGTTATAGGACACGATGCTACGTTAAGGGGCTACCCGAGTGGCAATCACGATTAAAAAAGTCCTGCAGAAGATCTCAGATGCGTTGGGTTGACGACGAAAGAACAGCAGGTATTTTATTTTGTGTTAGATGATACATATTTTGTGAAATTAAGATTCTTCATGTCGATGGTATATAAGTACCTTTTGATCATGAGCCGTCTTAATTGTTCAATATTTATATCCATACAGTAGTACCGGAAAGATTGTTGGATAAAATAGGACACAGTTCTCTAAATTAAAAAAAGCAAGCCACGTGCGAAACGAATTTCGTCCCGGACGAAAGGTTCTGCACCACTATCTGTATAAAATTAGATACTTGGTATATTTGGTATAAAGAAATACCTAACAGATTTATATTAATTATTATTTTAAAAGTGAATTACTTCTTTAATATTCTGTGAATATTTCAAGTGTCTACCTCTTGTCGCTATTAATATGGAGCACAAAACGACAAAAAAATCACGTTTTCGTACCACTTGCTCAAAAAAGTGACATTCTATGCCACAAAAAGCGAACATAACAATAGTCATTTTTAATCTGTTAAAAACAGGGAAAGAAAATTGTAAAGTAAGCATACATGGTTTAACTATGAATATTTCGTATCTTAGTAATGGTAATTATTTTATATATTTACCTGTTTTTTATCTTTGTTATTATAGGTGGCCTTAATTTTTGGATCAAAGGTGCTTGCCGCGGATGTGAACTTGTAAACTTAAAGGTGGAGGACGTTGAAAACCATTCCAATGAGTTACTGCTGATTAATGTAAAGGAAACTAAGACAAAGAAAAATCAGTCATTCATTGTACAAGGACAATTATACTAAAATCATTCATAAATACCAATCATTACGTCCCACCAACATGGAAAACAATATTTTTTTCATAAAGTATCGGAATGGGAAAATGTACTCGACAAGCCATCGGCAAAAATAAAATTAGCAGTATGCCAAAGGAAATTGCTAAATATTTATAACTTAAAGATGTTGAACACTACACCGGTCACTGCTTTAGAAGAACCTCGGCGACTTTCTTGGCGGATATTACGTCAATAAAAAGACACGGTGGCTGGAGCTCTGATAGAGTAGTTGAGGGTTATATCGAAAGCTCAATGGTGAATAAAACCATATTAAGCAGTCAAATCAACAAAAATATAAAACTTAATCCATCAGAGCCACAACCATCAACTTCCGGCATCTTATCTTCGTTCGTAACTCATGATGCACCACCACCACTATCTCCGACGTATACTATCTACAATGAAACGCAAGTTTCTAAGACGCAAGAACAGAGAAATACTTAAATTAATTCATCAACAATAAATGTACCAAACACAAATAAATGTAACTCTCTCTAATCAATAATTGGACCAATGTTTCGAATGTTAACTTTTACTTTTAATTGTCATTATTTTTAATAAATGCTTATCTCATATTATTATTGTGTTAATTTTTTCGCAAATGGTACGAAAAATAGAGTATCCCTCGCTTCGCTCGTGATTTAAGTTTTTAACACCCTCACTACGCTCGGGAGTAAACCTAGAGTCCTTCGTTACGCTCGCGATTTAAATCGGTCTAGTACCCATTGGACCCTCCTAATTGGACCTTACCTACAAAAAAGTGCCCGTTCGACCTCCTATCAAGAACATGGTGCCCATTGGACCCTCAAAGACGTACTTAACAACACAATGGGAGCTATTGGAGCTCTTAACTATTTGGCTAATTCTTTTGGAACGGTAAAGTACAATCGTGTAGTAAAGTAACATTGTAAAAGACATAAAAACACAAAGGTTATAATTCTAAGTATTTAATCAACATTTTTATAAAATTCATAACTCTCCATCAGTAACAACCAATATAAATATTTACAAAAAATATAATAATCAAATCACAGATTTTTTACTTTACTTTTAAAGCCAATAGAAATTATTTTTTATCAAATAGCTTAACTTAATTATAAATATGGTTTGTTATATCACATAGATTAAGCACAATTATTATATATTCTAAATATTGATAAAATAAATAAAAGCACAAAGGTTATAAATGTAAGTATTTAAAATCAACATATTTATAAAATTCGAAACATCAATCATCAGCAACAAACCATAGAATATAATAATCAAATCACAGATTTTGTTATTTTACTTTTAAATAGAAATGTTTTTTTATCAGATATCTTAACTAAATTATACATACAGTTTTTATATCACTCACATTAACTATTGAAGCACAATTATTATGTATTCTAAATATTCATAAAATAAAATACTAATGTACTTAATATTTTCATATTACATTTTATAAAAAAATGATTTCTAATCATATTTTTACAATTAGCCAGAAATTGCTTATAATAAAAACATACTTTAACTAAAGGATATGGTTCAAAAGCGGTAGTCGGTTTCCGGCAGGGACGAAATATATATATTTTGAAAGTTTGTATAACATGAATAGATACTTTGATTTTTTTATTCATTACCGATTAATTTAAAATCGTGTTTAATAATTAAACAATTTTTTAAGTATGCTGGCTACCCTATCTTAGTAACGTCATATTTTTAGTGCGTGGTGGCTTATAACGTCAACTCAATCACTATGGCAAATGTCAATCAGTCCAGTCATGGATTATTATCAAAATTATTATCACTGCTTTTGTTACACATTGAATATAATATATTTGATGCTTGGCAACAAAAAATAGATAAATAAACTTGCCATTTGCAAATCAATTATTAGATAGATTTATGTTATTTTAATATAAAAAACCGGGATAAAATAAAATTCTAGTTTTTTGTCAAACGATTCACAATTAAGTGCGCTGCGTCTCATAAAAACTTGGAGTCTGCCGAAAGACCCACTACCCCACTACCTACCTCCATAAAAAATTTAACAGTCTTTTGTAAAACATTATAAATTACCAAATTAAATATTTAAGATACATATGTGAGTAATTTTTCTAAGCAATGGCCTACGGTTGTAAGATTATTTTCTAGCTACAACATAGGTCATAAATCGGAACGAGACAGCAAATTTTCTCTCTCTCTCCCACATATGAGATCGGCGCCATCCTTTTGTTTAAGCGCAGAGATTGCTTGGGCTTGGAATCTATAACCTTCCTTTCATTAGGTGCTTAAGAGGAGTATAAATGTCGATAAAAACACTCAATCTACCTCAGAATTTCAGTCTTAGATCAAAAGATGATTTCGTTGCAAAATCCACCATAATGTTGCTTAGATTGTCTAGATCCAAGCTGTTTTAAGGAACTTTGAATCAATCGAACTTTGTTCGATTTGAAAGGTCTTGTGGATTTGGTGTTGCGCTGTAAGGGTATTTATGTGTACGATCGCCCTATTGAGTGAAACCTTTTTACATTAATGATCATTAATGTAATTAAATTTTAAATTAATGTAATTAATGATCATTCTTTTAAACCAAAAGCACAAACATATATTATGTCCTTTAAAGAAAAAAAGGTTTTACAATATTTACGAAAAAAAAAAGATATTGAAATATTATCATTGTCACTTGCACCCTTATAACACATAGAATAAAAATACATGTCAGTAGTGCAATATTTGGTTTTGGCTCCTTGTCAATACGAATAAAATAAAAATAAACATTATACAAATTAAATTTTGATTACTTTTGATTCACTTTTTATTTTCTAAATATCTCTATAATAATCTTATTGTACGAGTACCTTACAAAAAAATCCAAATGTGTTAAAAATTTGCTTTTCTTAAAGGTTACTATCATCTGTCTGCGTCCAGTATTTATAGAGCAATAGACAAAAAACAGTTTTTTTTTATTTTTCCTGAAAACTTACGTTTTTGTAGTTATCTTTTTATTCTCCGGGGACGGCGAAATGTCGTTAATTCGAAGAAAAAAGGTAACCTGATTTCTTTATAATTTGTTTAGGACTACTTACTGTTTGGAGTCGGTACTTATACAGTATTTAGTTAGTGGCTTTATAATACCTACTATTAATTTTATTTGTCTGCAATTTTCTACATGACTGTACTGTGCTTAACAAAACTGTTAATAAGGTCGAACTGGCAGTAGGGTATAATCTTGAAAGTCCAATGGGCACTTAAAAAGAGGTCCAATGGGCACACTGAATATAAAATTTTAAAGGAGGTCCAATGGGCACCAAAAATGAGGTCCAATGGGCACATTGAATATAAAATGTTTTAAGAAGGTCCAATGGACACCAAAAAAGAGGTCCAATGGGCACTTTTTGCTTTTGGGTCGAATCTTGAGGGTCCAATGGGTACTAGACCTTTAAATCGTCACCCGCGACAGAAGACACTGCTTTATCACCTGTAGGTTGCAGGTGGAGATGTTATATTCGGCGCGGGCAGCGACGAAACGTGGGCAGTTTTCGATGAGATGATCCAAGCTTTGGGTACAGGTGTTGTTACAAGGGGAGAAGTCGTCTTGAGTAATGTGGAATCTGTGTAGATATTCTTTATCTGTGGTGGTTTGTGAGCAATTGTGTTATGGCAAATCTAGGGAGAGCAATTAAAAGGAATTTAAGAAGATGTTCAAGGGTTAGGATTTTCTTTGTATGTATAGTTTCGGCGTAGAGGTCTTTGGCAGCGGTGTGAAGATTTAAGGAGTTTTCATACTTGACGTAAGAGATGGGAACGGAATAATAGTCGGGGTTGATAAAAACAGATGACGGTGTTATTTTGTTTTATCATGAGGAGGTGAGCTTGTGTTCGTGTAGCAAGTGGTTGGGTGGAGCTGGGATTCCTCAACTTCATGAAGGCGGATCTGAAAATATAGCGGCCTTGGAGACTTTGTTGCGGGTAAGCCTGGCATAGGTATGCTTGTTCAATAGCTAACTGCTCGGCAGCTCCGAACTTGTTATTACCTATGTCGCTTGCCGTCGGTGTAGATGTGGTGTTTGGGTTCGGTGTTGATCTGATCAACTTGATCTTGTGTGGTAATTTCTAATAATTTAATGCCAGTTCATATAGAAGGATGTAGGAGCGAGTCTATAGGTATTGGAGTTTCGATTGGAATGTCATCAGGGAGGTATCGGGAAGTGTGTGCTTGGCGGAGCCATCACAGAGGTGCGAGCAATATTCCACGCAAGTCTGCACCTGCGTCTTATACAACAAGCACTGTTGCTCGGGCGTGAAAAAACGCAGTATGTACCTTGTTCAGGACTCCGAGTTTGCGTGCGTGGGGCGTTTTTACTACGCTTTCGATGTCATTCTTTGGACACAAGTTACAGCGAATTTCCATACCGAGCATGGGTGATCTCTCTAGCTCCAGTGGTGTGTCCTCAAGAGAAATAAATAGCGACGTTTTTGCCGTGAAAGCGCAGACCTGGGTTTTCTTAGCATATAGGAAATGTGATCCAAAGCCTGATTGAGTTCAATGACAAGATTCTCCCGTTTCTCTTTGGTTTCCGCTTGTCAGAGATATCCCGCATGCACTGTACTATCGTCTGCATAGCAATGAATATTTTTATTGAAATTAATTTATTTCATATTTCTTAAATATCTATTCTATTTTTATATTTGTTATCTTTGAATCTAACATAACAAGAATGTGACAAATTAAGCAACTGTTTTATTACTTAGTAACAAAAACCTTGTTTCAATAAATAAATGACAGTTATATTTTTTTTATTAGCATTTAACTTCTAACCCCCCTAATAAACGAGGAATAAGCTAAGGCTAGTTACACTGTTTTGTTCAGGTCACTCAAGTGCCATTTGTAATTCAATGAACAGAGACAAAACAAAGTAACTAATTCAATCTTATTATTCGTTTATTAATCAAGGGGGTTTAAATCACGAATCACGCGGACTTGTCAGCAGACGGGATACACAGCAGCAGATGCTGTGTGTCCCGTCCCACCTGCGGTCTAGTCTGGTCCGCATGGAATTTTTTCTAACAAAATTTCCTTTACATTTAAATAAATGACATTTCCTTTACAATTACAACTGAATATTAAAAAAAACAAATGCTTCAGATTGAAATCCTATTTTGTTTTTGTTTTAATCATGATTTTTATCACACCTTTTTTATCAAGCAACCTTAAATTATTTATTGAATTAACTATTGAGAAGAGACAATAAACATTATGGAATTAGTAAATACAATTTATTTAAAAATAATTCAGCATCACAAAGAACTTATTTTAATGATTTAAAATTACTTCTTCTTCTCCTCTTTCTCTTTTTTATCTGTTTTCACTTTCTCCTCTATTTTCTTGTCATCCTTCTCATCTTTCTTCTCTTTCTTATCTTTTGCATCCTCTTTCTTACCTTCTTCAGCATCTCTATTTGTAATCTTGTTGTTGATGAGATTATGCAAAGCTATAATTGATCTCACTAGAGCAGCGAGGTAGACTACTAATGACTGATCATTAGTTTTGATGTAAAGATTATCAATGAAGTTGTCATTGGCTATATCAGGCAAAAGATTAAAGATGTCCTGCAGTTGGTAAATAATTTGGTGATTCATTGGCAACGCTCCTTGGCCAACTTGAATGAGGTAATCTCTAATTTCACTAAGTTGAGAGTGAAGACCACGAAGACCAAGTAATTGGTTAGTGACACGTTGTGAAAGGCTTCCAACTGTTGTGTCCTTAATATCCCTAAGTAGATGCTCAACTCCAACTTCTTCAGCCTCTTCAGCTCCTATTTCACTGGGTACATGTTCAAAGGTTCTTGTTGTTGGACTACCGTCATCATGCACTTCCTCCACAGCTTGATAAGCTTCAGTGGGCAAACCTAAGTCTTTAGGCTTTGCATCTATTATAACAAGAACAGAATTGGGACAGTAACGCCTAATCAGCTCATTTATTGCCACATCATTTTGGTGGAGTTTAGGACCTGTGTGGTACCAGCCAACAACTTTTTCACGAGCATTCACCTTTTTAAACATGCCATACATATTTTCTAAGTAGTCATGATCCAAGAACCAAACTGATTTGTCTTTATCGTCTTCATCAAATGGTACTAAAACAAGTTCAAAAGCAATTGTGAATATTATTTTACAGAATAAATAAAAGAGAAATAAATAAGAAAAAACAATTCATAAATTTCTGCTAAGAACTGTAATGAGAAAGAGATGAGAGATGATGATGTTAGTTAACATGTTTCTGAGACGAACAAAGCTATTTATATATGTCATACAAGTTTTGAGTGCAAATGAGTGCTGTTGATGTTTATAGATTTATTTATTTTACAGTCCCATAGTTTCTCTAAGAGCTTCACATAAATAAAAATACTTGTTAGTAAACAAACTAAAACTGTGCAAGTAATTGTTTGGCAGCACTATTGTTTCCATTATCTTGGGTCTAACAAGTAGCATTCTTCATAGTGGTAATGTGTGTGTTTTGTCCACCAATGTATATTTATCAGATCCATGCTCTAACTATAAGACATTTGATGATTTGCTAATGCCACAGGGGATACAATAGCATCATACATTGATATGTAAAATGTACACAACAAACTACAATATGGTAATTGATAAATAAATGGAAATTTTGTGTAGTTATTTGTCTATTGGGTACTCCATTTTAACTTACCTGCAAAACTATTGGATACGTCGAGGACACCTTTAGCTCTCCAGCATCCTAGGAGGACGCCTACGACTCGCTTTTGATTGCCAATTTTACCCATTCGGTTAAAGTGGTCTACTACGCTTAGTAAAACCAATGGATGCACCACAACTTTGGTGGTGATTACTTCTTGACTAGGCATTTTTACAGTGAAGTATATTTTTATTATTACTGAAGTGAACCTTTGATCGAATTAAAAAAACCCCGTTGTTGTAGCCAATAATTAAACTTCAATCTGCAAAAATTGCACAAGCTACGGAAAAATGAACAGAATTGAGAAGACTCGGTAGATCAAAAAATTTGACAGTCATGCATGTACACAGATAACTTCTTACATTATTTTTAGGGGTGGGCGTTTTTAGAATAACGATGCGCGATAACGATGCCAGGTTTTGGATGCGCGCATCCTATGCGAGTGCGACTGGGAACAGGTATTTGGATGGCGATGCCACCTTTTTTTTCCAACGTTACTATGGTTGCTTTTCAATTACAGAGCATAATGCGACTCAGTGCCGCACAATGCTGAATTATGCTGATGCTTAATTGCAACGTGAATTAGTTTTCAAATGCACCAGCAGAGTGCGCTAAGTTCAGTGTTGAAAAAAAAGTCAATGTTTATACCTTCATCCATCCTTCCTTCCATATCTATATTAAATTTTAATAATCCTAAAATAAGTTTTTTCTCATTTTTGAAAAGGAAATTATTTTGCCAGCACTCAATATTTTCAGTTACTCTGCCGAAAAGTATTAAATAAGTAGTAAAAGTAAATAAATGGTTTCGCTTACTTTTTCAAATCATGATTCATGAATCGGAGAGACACACTCACTCAAAACACGCATCTGTGGTAATTCATGTCGGATCGCATCATCTGGTATCGATGCGCGCATCGGATTCGATATATCTGATATCGATACGCACCGATATCACAAATACGTATAAACGCCCATCTCTAGTTATTTTCCTTTTTTGTGTTTCCCAATCCAGAAAGGTTAAGGCTACTGTGGACATACAGCCAATTTCTGAATAAATTATTATTCCTAAGCCGGAGCTAAGTCTTTTTTTATCTAGACTTTTTTACTTTAATCCTCTTTCTGGCGCAATGCTACTACTACTTTGTTAGCATTTTCTTCTATACTTATAGTCCGGGAGCCGCCAATCCTGAAAGCTCCGTGATCACGGATTCTAATATTTTTAATAAAAAATAAAAGTTAACGTTTAGACGAACAAGATTTGCTTGGTTTATTTATTTATTTATTTATTTATTTAATAGGTACACAAACAGAGTGCAGTTATCACATGGTTAAAAAACATAAATTTGGTAAAAATCGAAACTGCCATCCAAAACAGTGTACACAGCATAAATAAAATCATGGCAAAATTAAAGCAAAACAAAACTTTAAAACTAGGCTAAATCGTTTAACACTGTTAATAAAACGAGGTAATAAAAATAAAATAAAAAACGGAAATTAAGGATCTTGAGTACCAGGGCCGAACAAACTAGAGATGCTTCTTTTGAACACTGAGAAACGGGAGTTGAACACATCAATACCTTTGTTGTTCCTTGAAAATTCGTTATAAGTTCTACACATTCTGACTATAGGATTATAATAAGAGGTGTTATTTTTAAAAACTTGAATTGCGAATGTATTTGGAAGGCGGGATCTATACAGCGTATTAATAGAGAGTGACGAGAGCAAAGCTGGCGCATCGATGTATGAGTGCAGAATCTTATGAAGGCAAATTAAATCGTATCTTTTACGCCTGGCTTGTAGGGAGGCAACACGAAATTTTGACAATCGGTCTTTATAATTATTAAGGGAACGACCATATTCAAATTTACGAGAAAGGATTCTCAGGAGTTTCCCCTGAACACGTTCAATTCTAGTAACATGTACATCATAATAGGGCGACCATACAGGGCAACAGTATTCAAGGATACTTCTCGCCAGACTGAAAAATAGACAGATAATGCTTTGTGGCTTTTTAAATTGCTTAGTAGATCTAATGATAAATCCCAGCATACTGTTACTTTTCTTTATAATATGATCGTAGTGAGGACGGAAGCTTAACTCATCATCGAAAAACACACCTAAATCTTTTATTAGCGTTTTTTCTGCTTAAAATGTTATTTTGTATAAAATAGGTATGAACCACCCTGCTTCGCTTTCGTCTTGTAAAGGATACAACACAACATTTATTAACGTTTAGGTTCATTTTATTCGATTCACACCAGTTTTCAATAACATCGAGGTTGTTTTGAAGAGCCTCACATTCCTCACCGTCACCAATGTTAGTAAAAATCTTTAAGTCATCTGCATAAAGAAGGGCAGGGCACGTCAATAAATCAACCAGATCATTCACAAAGATATTGAATAAGAGCGGGCCCAGGTGTGATCCTTGCGGGACTCCCGATGTAATGGCTACAGGATCAGATGAGTAACCCTTAAGAGTGACAAGTTGGGACCTGTTATTTAAATACGATTCAATCCATCTCAATAAACAGCCATGAATACCATAGCGTGAAAGTTTTAGGCACAGTAGGCGGTGATCGACTCTAACAAAGGCTTTACTAAAATCTAAGTAAATGGAATCAACTTGACCACCAGTAGCAAAAGCTCGGCAGATATAGTTCTTATATTCCATGAGGTTTGTGAACGTTGACCTTTTCTTAACGAAGCCATGCTGTCTACTAGAAAGAAAGCAACCAAAGTGACTGTACAGACCATCATATACAGAGGATTCAAAAAGTTTAGCCACACACGAGAGCAAACTAATCGGACGGTAGTTCGAACATGACGATCTTTCTCCAGTCTTATAGATAGGGATAATGTGTGCTATCTTCCATCGTGCAGGAAAATCTCCAGAATTAAGTGATTTGTTAAACAACAATGAAAGAGGAATAGAAAGCTCGTCTGCACAGCGTTTAACAAATAATGGAGGAATCCCATCAGGACCAGCCCCTTTTCTTTCATCCAAATGCTTAATCTTGCGAAGAACATCTTGTCGCTCTATGGTGAAGTTACTAAGCGTAGAGTTACAAATATTAGGCAACATTGTCAAAACTCTCGGCTCTGAGCGTGGAGGTGCTTCAAGCACTGAACCAAAGTACTCCGAAAAAAGCTCACAGATGCCCTGACCATCTGTAGAAACTTTGCTATCAAAAGTCATGGTCTCAGGTATCGTATCTTTGCCTTTTCTTCCCTTAACATATCGCCAAAACAGTCTCGTGTTGTCACCAAGTGAGTCCTCCACCGTAGATAAGTACATTTTATGACAACTTTCGATAAGGGATTTACATCGAGTCCGAAGTAACGCAAATGTGTCATAATCCCTAGGATTACCATACTTTTTGTAGCGTTTGTGGTATTTAGCCTTCTCCCTAATGCAGCGTTTTAAACCATGACTGTACCAAAGCGCATATTTGTTGGACGTATTTTTAATTAGAGGCGTATTCCTACCTATGATTTCATAAATTTTATTATAAAACACATCAACGCAGTCGTCGATAACAGAAGAAGAAAACATTTCATTCCAATCCAAGTCTAGCAACTCTGACCTTACATTTTCATACTTGCACTTATTAAAGTTATAACGTTTCTTAAGCTTAGATTTCAATGGTTTCAAGGAATTCATATCAGGTATCTCAATACAATAAGCCAAATGATGAAAGTCCACTCTACACAAAGGATCAACTTCAGTTTGGCCTTAAATATTTTAATTAAATTATTCATTATTAAATTTCCATATTTTTTTTCCGTCATCACGGATTTTGATCAATCTTATATAGAATTTTATGTGAAATATTATGTTCAACAAGAAAAAATCCGGCCGACCAATGTTTTTTTAGCCGGAAAGGTCACGCATACCTAGCGTAGCGGCAGGCGAGTGTGGTTGGCATCAAATTTTAAACTTTAATTCTTTCATAGTGGATATTGTGAAATAAAAGTGAAGTGATTTTTTTTACAACTATCTGCGTAACTAAAGAATTAGTGATATGTTTAAAATAGCATTCCGGTCAAGTGGACGTGAGGACTTTATTGTAGTCTTGACTACCTCACAGAAGCTTATCGAGAAAGCTAGCTCGATAGTTTTCATGCCAAATACTTCAAGAAACATTAATGCGTCGCAACCAAATTCTAATGTAAAAAAGAAGATTAATAAATTTTAAGAGTAACTGTATGGGTACTGTTCCGTTTGCCTTCCCTGAAAAGGGAGAATATTAAAAAAAAAAGTGTCTGTCACATTGACAGCTTGACAGCCTGATTTCATACTAGCTTGCTACTTATTTAATGATCTGTGTTTCATACTATGTTTTCTTTCTTTGCTTGTTTTTGAAGCCATCACTGAAGTAATCTGAAATTTTTGTTAGTTTAGCCTTGAAACTTCTGCGAGCAGCAGTACAAATATAAAGAAATCAACCAACTTAATTTTAATAAATATATAATGGCTCAAAAAACTCTTACATTTGTAACTGGCAACGTAAAAAAGTTGGAAGAAGTTAGAGCTATTTTGGGAAACAATTTCCCCTTTGAAGTTATCAGCCACAATTTAGATTTACCGGAATTACAAGGTGAGATAAATGAAGTATCTATTAAAAAGTGTCAAGAAGCAGCTCGTAGACTACGAACACCTGTATTAGTAGAAGATACCAGCTTATGTTTTACGGCACTGAACGGTTTGCCGGGTCCATACATAAAATGGTTTTTGGAAAAAATTCAACCTGAAGGTCTAACGAAACTCCTTGCGGGTTGGGAAGACAAGTCTGCTGAAGCAGTGTGTACATTTGCCTATTGTGCAGGTAACTGTGAAGACCTTGATGTTACATTATTTCAAGGAATAACTAAAGGACAAATAGTTCCTCCAAGAGGGACAAGGGATTTTGGATGGGACTGTGTTTTCCAACCTAATGGATATGATAAAACTTATGCAGAATTACCAAAGGAAGAAAAAAATTCTATTTCACATAGATACAAGGCTTTAGAACAATTAAAGAAGTATTTTACAGAAAAATCAAATGATTTATAATTTGGTTCTCAGGAAAAGTTCTCATACTGTATATTATGGATAACTGAATTTGGTAACAGGGACTTATTTATGTTCTGGTCCGAATTTAGGATGGATGGGACCTTGTCTTCCCCATTCCGTAAATCAATGCTCCATATTGTATAGTTTTAAGAGGAAATTTTGAATCCCACCCTTGATTACTATGTATGTATATCAAAACAGCGGTTTTATTGTGTAACCCTTTCTCTTTCCATAATCCTCTTCATTTAAAAGTCTGTAAATAAGTATGTTGCATTAAACTTCACTTTTTGCTTTGAAGGGAATAGTGGAAACAGTATTTAGACAATTAATCATCAGTACACCATCTGAGTTGTCTGTTTATCAACCTTACTTATCAACTGTTAATAATAATAATAAAAACATACATTTAACAATATTTTTATTTTATATATTTTTTAACCACAAATTATTCTACTGTTCTACTAAACATTTTTATCATAGAATATTTATCAACCACTGTTTTTATCAGTGACCCAATGTGGTAAAGTTACTGATTAATTATGTTACAAAAATAATACTTGATACCTATACTGTATTGTGATACAATTTCTTTACTTCCTAAATGTGTAGTCCCAAAATACATTGTACAATCAATATTATTATGGAGCTTTTATATAACATGCTACTACTTTTTGCAGAATGTACCTCTGGAGCTATATATGGTTCCAAATTGGAGTTATTGTAATTTTTGTAATACCATTCTTTTCCATCTAGTTTGGTCTTGGCATTTACTGTAGGTAGGTTAGTGAAACTAGTCTTTGCTTCTCTGTTGATGACAGGGGAGTAATCATGATTCTGCATGTCATATTGCTGTAATAATGGCATATTTACTTTCGTAATTGTAGCAGGTCTTCTTGAACTTGCACTATGGTTCCTTGCTAACAGCTGTTCACTGCTTGGCATACGGACAGCAGATAAAGCAGTAGGCTGTGGGTTGTCAACGTGTTTCTTTACTGGTGGTTTTGAAGTCACAGATGTAGAAATAGAATAAGAATTAGTACTTGATTCCATCCATGCTTGTAGGGACATATCATTACTTGTGTCTGTTGTAATAAGAATACCTTCTTTTTCAGTCACTTGTGTTATTGTTAAATTTGATTCCATTAAATTATATTTTGACAATTTGTTAGGGTCACTTTTCTGTTCTTCAACATTTTTGGTTCTATTATAAGCTACATGTGTGCTGTTATCATCATCAAGATATGCTTGGAGTTCATGAATTTCACTTTTCATCTTTTTATGTGTTGTATTAGTGTGAACTGTTTTTACTGGTGGATTTGTTACAGCTATTGATAAAGTGTGCTCCATATTGCCAGCTGAAGAATAATTCGCGACACCTTGATCAACGACAATTGTATGAGATACATTCAATACAGGATTAGGTATAGGTTTAAATCCTCCACTAGTTGTCGGAAGAACGGGAGCGAAACCACCTGTTTCAAATTTCGGTGGTGCTGGAGTTGGGTAGTTTCTATTAGTATGTTGAGTATTTTTACTATTGGCCCAGTCTACTTTACGGCCACTGTTCAATAACTTACCAACATCTAAAGGGGGAAGGGGCATGCCAAAAAATGTAAAACCACTTGCCGGCTGTTTTGTGTCTGTAGTTTTGTTATATGTTATTGTCGTATTCTTAAGGTCAATATGGACAGTAGGAGCAACTCCCACTGTGTCGAGTTGTTGAGATTTATTATGATTGTTTTGCAAAAGGCGAATGTCATTATTGAGGGTATCAACTAATGTCTCATTATATGGATAATCCACATAGTCCTCATAGAAATATTCTGATTCTTCAGGCGCAGGTCTATTAGGTATTTTATTAACATGATAATTATTTTTTATTTGCGCAGTATAGTCTTTAATTTTATCCAATGAAGAAAATACTTGTGAAGTTGCTAGGCTTGGTAGTAATGCATCATTTTCTATAGTGACACAGCTTCTCATATCGCTCTCTTGATTAGCAGGCACTTTCAGACACTCTTCTCTTGAGAATGGTAGACCTTTCACGTAAGTCCCATCTGCACATTTTGGTCCAATTGATGAAGATTCTGATAACCATAACTTCATCCACATAAGTGCGCAGTTGCATACTAAGGGATTACCTGAAACGAATTTTTTTAAAATTACCAAATAGAAAAGAGAGATATAGGTAGATTAGTGAGTTAATTTTATTACTAACCATCAATATCCAAGATAGCTATGTTGTTTCTTAGTTTTGAAAATATATCCTCGTTTACTGATGGTAATTTATTAAAACGCAGAGAGAGAACTTTCAATCGAGGCATAAAATCAAATGGCTTTCCTCCTATATGACATATCAAATTATTGTCAAGATTCAATTCAACTAACCATTCCATATATTGAAAGGACGATGCAACGATTTTAGTTAGTTTATTAAAACTAAGATCAAGTACTTCCAAGGACATTAATTGCCGCAACCCTGAGTTATCAATATTCGTGAGTTGATTATTGCTCAAGTTGAGATATTGTACAAGAGGAATATTTTCGAAAGCCCTTGAAGATATGAATTGCAATCTATTACCTTGCAATTCTATTATTCTTAACTTTGGAAGATTCTCGAAAACGCCATCCGGTAAATCAACAATATGATTTCTACTTAAGTATATTGCAGATAAGTTAGGTAAATTAACGATTGCTTTCGGGTGTACAATTTCTATTTGATTATTCTCCAAATCGATTGCTTCCAAGTCTCTAAGATCTTTAAAGCTTCCAGAACGCAGCTCAACAATTTTATTGTTTGGCATTCTCATTTCTTTGAGAGTTTGGACGTTATTAATTATATTACCATCATACCGTTTAATGTTGTTATAGCTGGCATCCAATATTTTTAATTTCGGAAGCATATTTAATGTTGGAGGTAATTCATTCAAACTGTTTGAAGAAATGTTTAGTATTTCAACATCTATTGCTTTTTTCACCATATTAGGACTTATACTTTTAAGCCTGTTTTTGCTAAAATCTAACGTGGAAAGAGCTGCATTTTCTTGTATTGCAATGAAATCAAAATTATCAATCGTATTACCGTGTAAGTTTACTTTTTTTAAACGAGTCAATTTATTAAAGCTTTTCGGATTAATTGTTAATATTTGGTTGTCGCTTAAGTCCAATATCTCTAAACGTTCTAAATCACTAAAACTTGATATTTCAATTTGTCGTAAACCATTTCGTCTCATATATAATCTTCGCAAATGGTGTAAAGTTTTCATGCATCCATGAGGTATTTTTTGAATACCATTATTCGAAATGTCTAAAGTCCTCAAGGAAGGTAAATCTAAATCGGGCGACGGTGGGACTGGCAAACTCGTTATTTGATTCCTTTGTAAATATAATTGCTCCAAACCTCTTGGCAGTCCAGGAACGAACTCGATTAACTTATTGACACTCGCATCGACTTCGTATAAATTTGGCAGATTTCTAAAGGTGGCTGGATGTATCGAAACTAAAGCATTGCTTGAAATATTGATATATTCCAATAATGGCAATTCTATAAAAGTTATGGGGTCAATGGTAATGATTTGATTATTACTTAAGTTGATGCGGCGCAAAGCCGGTAAATTGTATAACATTTTTGGTTGTAACCGCTGAAAATAATTGAATGATAGATCGAGCCCTTTTAAAGCTGGCAAGTTCCAAAACGGACCCTCATTCATGTCACTTAAAGAATTATTTTTTAAGTGTAGTTCTCTCAAAGCGGGCATCGCAACAAATGCATCAGCTTGGATATATTTAATATTATTTCCATTCAAATGTAGCCTTTCCAAACTTGGGTGTCCTCTTAATGCTCCTCTTGGGATTTCCTGTAGTAAATTTTCACTCAAATCCAAAAACCTTAAGCGAGGTAAAGCGTCTAGTAATGCTCGAAATTCAGAAATGTACATTATTTGATTTCCAATTAGATTTAGTTCTTCAACTCCACTGCCGGATTGTTGCAGAAAAGATTCTGGGTGGATCTTAGTGATCTTGTTAAACTTAAGATCTACGACTCGTAACTTTGGAACTCTGTGAAAGGCCCCATGGTGGATAATATTGATTTTATTTTTAGAAAGTAACAATTTTTCTAACGTAGGATGATCTACAAATGCGGCTTCGTTTAATTTGTCTATCATATTATCGCTAAGATTTAAATAAGACAGTAAAGGCAAGTCTCTGGTTGCTCTTCCTATCATAGTAGCGTCTGAAATCTTATTCCCGCTAAATGATAATTCACTCAAAACCGGAAGTAACGACAATGCTCTCATGTGCACAAAATTTATTCCACAGTTAGTTATTTCCAATTTTCTCAACTTTGGTAAGTTGTATAGGGCGTTTTCTTTCAATATTCGTAGACTAGGGCTACCTTTAATAAACAGTCGCTCCAAATTTGGTAAATTCTCAAAGGTATGTTCATTCATTACATTCAAGCTCTCTGATTGTATGTTGATATATTTAAGTTTTGGCATGTTTGACAATACTGGTAATCTTTTCAGACTTTGCGATTGAATTGTTATTGCTTGTAAATTTTGCAGTTTCATAAGGCTTTCTCCCGGTATATTTCGTAAATCATTTTCAACTATAAATATCTCTACTAAATTCATTTCTTGTGTTTCCAACCAGGTAGGAGATAGTCGTTCAACACCATTGTGTCTTAGCATCAGTCGAAGTATCTTTACATTTTGAAACATTTTCCCTGGCAAGGATGGCAGGTAATTATTTTCTATTATAAGTTCATCTATCGGGTTTTGTACAAAGTCTCCTATACTTTGAACGCCTTTCGTGACTTGTGTTAAGTCGCTGTGAGTGCACCTGTAAAAAATAAAATAGGCATATTATTTAATTGCTCGCTAAATTAATTAATTTAATAATTAATTAATCAGTGTTTGAGAATTCTTAAGTCCCTTTGTTCAATTCAGAGGCCAAATTAAGTGAGGCGTTTTAAAAGAAAATTTTGCTGGTAGTATCATGGAGCCACAGTTTATTGATTTTTAATTTTTCATGGCTAACGTTAAATATCTTTTTTCCAAATATGGGTCATTAACGAATACTTTTATATGGTTTCTGCCGTACGCTGCAGATCTTCTAGCCGCCCTCACAACCTGCCGCCCCGGGCCATGGCCGTATTAGCACCAGGGTAAATATGCCCCTGAATATTACACATCACAAATGTCTAGGGATCAAATTAATTTGAGCATACAAATATTATCCAATCCATATTTACCAAAAGTAGTCTTTGAGAATAGCCTCTTACTTTAATTAACGTAAATCTAAATACCAATACATTTGTAAAAATTAAGAAAAAACCTATGCAGTGTTTGTAAATTGTGGTAAATTAACCCTAGTTTTTTACTTGACATTGGCTGAACGCACAAACAAAAAGAAAAAAGAAAAACCCTAGTTATGCCGAGCAGATGGCGTCTCTTTGCGCACTTGATTCGTAGATACTTGATGTGTATATTTTCTTAATGATAAGTACAAAAATATACCATATTTGAACATCCTCGCTCCGATTTGTGCAAATACATGGTAAAATGATCTCTGGCACTGGACATACTGATTTCTCACTAGATGCAGTCGTAATTACGAAAATGCAGCACAATATCGTCTTTTGTATTTTAGTATCCATTCCCTTTTTTCTTCTGAGACTATCATTGTAGCATGTTGAATTCTATTCCATTAATCATGCTTTTAGTCTAAGTAATTGCAGACCTATTTCACCTCCGCTGAAAATACAAGTTATAATTAAATTACTTTAATTATAAAGAAAATATAACTAGAAAAAAATCCACGTGGACCAGGCAGCAGACTGGACTCGAACCCGCACCCTTCGCTATCCGAGCGAATGCACTGACCAATTATGCTACCGCAGGCCTGATGGCCGCGTCAAAATTCTTTTAGCCATTCTTAAGCTGCAAGGCAGCGCCATCTCCTCGCATTGTAGTTAACCCACAAATTCAACTACTTCCATTATCTTTAATCCTGACTCAATTAAAAATTATAAATGTAATTTTAGGTTCAGTGTCAATTAGAACCATTACAATAGACTGCTGCGATTTAATTTAACTAGTATAATCCGGTGGCGTGAAGGACCTATGCTATTGAAAACAATCGCAAGAGAACAATAGACCAGGTAGAACGGTCCGGTGGTTAAGTTGCACTTTCACTCATTCCCCATTGTTCTGATTGGCGATTTATGGCGTGCATGCAACGTGCTTCCTTGCATCATTGTAGGAGGTTGCGCAACATTGAAATTCGGAGGTGTAAGGGTTCTATTGATGTAGGTCACAGAGGCGGTATTGTTATTTTTAGTTGTTGAAGTAGATATTGTTACAAATACTTGTTACTTGCGTAATACTCACTGATAAAGAAGAAAAAACGAGCGAGTCTTACAGTAGTCGCGTATGATGTGTAACATTTGAAACCTCACCTTATATTAGTAAAAAAAGAAATAAAACCTACTACAAAAGGAATGAGTCATTTGAACATTAAGTTCTAAAATCAAATCAAATAGCGCGCGCTTTCGTGACACACTTCCGTGCTATTTCACGAAATCACTCCCACAAATTGCAGGAAAGCGAGAGGAAAGATGTTACACGTCAAAAAAATATGTTTATTAAGATCATCTCCTAAAAAGTTTATCAATTCAGTTGTTGCATTAATCTCGCTTGCAGTTTCGTGTAATGTTACACACAACTGCGTCACACCTAACGAGCATTAGACCAGAATGCAACCAGAATTGATTGCATTCTTGGGTAATACCAAGAATTACTCCTAATTTACAGTCTAAAGGACATTGCTCGTTCCCCATACATTGAATGCCCTAGAACGCCCAGCAATGAGAAAATGCTAGTTGTGTTTGGAATCATTCATAAACTCTAATTATGCATTTGTTAAAATACGGACAACTTGAGGAACCGTGGCCTACTACAGAATGTATTAGATTTTGAGGTTATAATTATTATACTTAATCGTAGAAGATGTACACTGTATATATTCTGAATAGATTTAGTGTTTACCTCTATGTAAGCACTTAAATAATATGCATTAAATGAACATAAAATGCAAATAAAAATAATAAATGCTTATATATATATTCATATTGATTTATGAGTGTTGGCAGTTGGCACCTATGATACCTATACTTACCTGTAGTAATAATATTTCTTTTCAAATGAAATGTTCAAAGTCTTTCCATTTACCTGTTTCTATATTTTACTATCGGTAATTACGTATGTCAGGTACATACGTAATTACCGATAGTAAAATATTGTTATCATTATTTCAGATTTTCATAAAAAATGTTTACATAATTTCAGAAATCTTTTTATTATATAATATAAATACTAGTAATAAATATTATTCACTAAGGTACCTAGTTCTATTTTTATGTTGATAAATACCTATGGTCGCTTATATTGCATTTATTAAGGTAAACAATCTTGGCACAACTTTTTAACAGAATCACCCATTTAATAATAAAAAATTAACGAAGCCAATAAACTATTAAAATAAATCGTTATTATAGACTGAAACCTATTGAATCCAGTTGTCAGTTGATTTTTAATGCTGTATTTTCAAAAAAGGAGTGCCAAGATTATTTACCAAATAGGAAAAGTTAGATGAACAGACTGTAGTATCTAGTAACAGAACTTTTATTTTTTATTTTTTTAAACAGATTATCCGTTTACTATGATCTCTTATCTATTAGACAAGTCCGTCCGTCCGTCTGTCTGTGGTGCTGTTTCAGCGACCAAACCGTAAGAGATAGATAAAGAGAATATTTAAGTTATAAGTTAAGAATAGTCTGATAAGACTACAAACCGAATTTGAGTAACGTAGCACTTCCGGTTTTCGAGAAATCACGAATTTCAAACGAAACCACACAAAATATCCGAAGTTCTCAATTAATTAAATACTTTTTTTTTTCTTTTTAAATCAGTTTTTGGTGAACATTTGGTTCACTGGTTTGCTAGTTTATTGCTAATAAGTTAAAAAAAAATATAGAAAAATAATAGTGAAGGACATTCTTTTGGGCATGCTAGGGCCGATTTCGTCGATGTCCTTTAATTATCATAATTGTTGTGATTGTGTTGAGATAAAGATCAGCATGATCATTACTAAGCTGAGCTGTTGACTTACGTCGTATTTTGACATATTTCATCATCAGCCTAATAATTTCACTACTGCTGGAGCACAGGCCTTTCCTATGGACTAGCTAGGGAGTAAGATTCGGGCTCCACGAGGTAGAGGATGACGTTAGAGTAGGCAAGGCGCAAGAGATACTTTGGCTTTGACGGCCGACTACAATCAGACGGGCCATATGTTTTGCCACCCTTTTCACTTAAGAAGACCGTTATCTGTAGGGCAACTTTCTGCCTTATTGTGCGCAAGTTAAGCTTTTGTAACATAAATTGGAATATAAACAACTTCAAAAAAAAAGATCCTTAGTGTCAGTTTAAAAGAACATTACCCCGGCTTGTAGGTAGTACGTAACAAGTGCACATTATTTATCACTAATTATTTGTTTTCTGTACGTATATTTACATTATGTGTCATTAAAAGATAACAGATGTGATGCTTTTCTACGTTACAGTTATCCATTTTACGATACATAAGGTACAGAGATCGTAAAATCATCGCAAGCAACCAACGGGACGCGTAATCATATAAACAGTTAGTACACTTATCTTTAATGTCACCGACTGTTTTTTGCCGTAAAAAGAGCCGCTTATATTTGTGACATTCGTTTAAGATGGCTCATATTCAAAGCTCTCACAAGAAGAAGGTTTATTAGCAATAATAATTAAAGTTCGATTTTAACGAAAATTCCTCCTGCCCCTCTAGCATGACTACCGAAACGGGATATGATAAAGCGACATATCGACATTAACTGTCAGACTACTGTCAAACTCCATAGTGGTCTGACAGTTAATGTCGATATGTCGCTTTATCATATCCCGTTTCGGTGGTCATGCTAGAGGGGCTGGTGGAGGTGCGGCCAAGACATAAATTCCTACGCGTTAAGCATCAATCCTTGTTTGGGTGCCCTTCTACCTTACCGGTCTGATCCTTATTCTCCTGTCCTGTTGAGATCTGATTACTTTAGCCTCAAAGCGAGGAAACAACCCTATAGTTTTTTATATGACTGCTTCCAAGGTCAGGGACACTTGACCAGGCAGTCTTTTTGAGACCTAACTTTTACCGTCAAGCAAGTTCCGTTGTTAGTAAGACATCAATTGAGTACAGTAGAATGGCATCCCACTTCAGCCGCTGTTTTTGCCTCTATTTGAGATTTTTCTACAGTCTCGACTCTGGGTCCATATTGTCTAACATTTACCTACACATGCCGCGATTCTCATGATTGGATATTAAAAAAAAAATAAGCTTAGGTCATATTGATACTCCTCTTTAGCTTAGAAGGCCATTAATTGGCCCCCTGATTGGAGCAAAGTAATTACCAAGAGACAAACAACAGAACACTTCTTAAATGTTGTGTCATTTTTCTGTGGTCTTTTGTAAGGTAGAAGTTGCTCCACATACATGTGTTCCAATTCGAGCCGTAAATCCGTTATCTACCTCTCCTAAGACCTACCTAAGTACCTACCCGACATTATCAAGTATGTAAGTAGGTATAACTTCCTAAGTATATATTTATTACTAGAATGTAACGATTGCTCTACATTCATAAACAGTAAAATGGTAGGTAACGTAATAAGATCCAAGATCATCCAAGTATGGAGAAAATCGTTTGACGTCATAATCAGCCTGCTTGAAAGCTACCGATGAAGCGCCGGCGGCGTATGGCCACAGAAACAGATGGTTATTTTTTAACATGCATTCTTTGTCTGTTTGTAAGTGATGCATGTTTGCCTCATCTATATACTTAGGTACCCATATAAGCATCGCCTGAGGATACCACATACCTTTGATTATTTGAGACTAAATAATCAAAGCACATCATATGGTCATTCTTGTTTCTTATTTGTAAAATTAAGGAATATACTGCTGTCAAACTCAGAACGAAGTGCCAACAAGACTCGTCAGATTCTGTAGTGTTCGAAATTTTCAGGGCAAGGTTAGTATGAATTTTCTGATGATGAACCGGGTTTTTACACCTCTAGGAATGTGGTCTGAGTTTCTATGTCAGTAATTACTAATTAAAAATATAAAAAGCATACAATTCGAGCCCTTTTATATCCCACCGAGAGCGAGACGCACAAAAAACACATGTTTTCACTGTCTGTAATCGTTAAGATACCTAGAAATCTGTAATTTTATCCGGTTTTAATCCCAATCGTTATGGACACATGTGATATTTATTTACAATGGAATCTCCTTAATCTTTGTATTACCAACAAACTTTAATACATAGTTACACAGGTACCAGACGGAGTCAAATAAAATAACAGAGAACCTACGTTTCAGTCCCATAAGTAATTTTGCTCATAGCAAGCATCCAGTGAAAAATTGCGTCACTGATTATATCTCAACACAAACGTTTAAACACAATGATAATTTCAAATGATCTGTACTACATTAAAAAAAACTTTAACTTCATACAATCACCAAACTCCTCAAATAAAAATCCTGTGAATCCAGATAAGCGCAGTAAGAACAAAATATACAAGAGACTTGCAAAGTGTCTGGTCAGGTTACGAAACAACTTAAGTGCTCACTCAAAAACACAATTCTCGGATGTCTGGACAAGCGGGGCTCTTGGCAGCCAAACACAAACTGGGAGTCGAATCTGATTTCGCATGTAAACACCCCAGACTTTCGGTTCACAGCTCGATGCGCACCAAGTAACTTATCTTTCATTTCACCATTGTGGCGCGTGCCATAGGAGTACGTAACTACCTGTCGAGTCGCAATAGCATAGATGCGCAAGTAGGCAAATCGTGACTATAACTATATCTAGAGATACCATATGAATTGTCGGGATTCATTTGTTTTATATAATATAATGAGTCATTCGACTTACAAAATACAACTGCTCGTAGAACAACCAACAACGATTAAGGTAGAAAGGATTCTGAGATGAGGCAGGGAAAAGCTGATTTTCTCCTCGAATTGGAGCGTCTCTTTTTATCCAAGTAAGTAACCTCGACCTTACAGAAGACTGCAGCCATACATTTTAAGTAAAATGGGTGGAAAACGCGCATATAACATGATTGAATTGGTAAGCGGCCGCCACAGCTTATAAAAGCTTGCGTACAGTATATAGCGTCGTCTACACCATCCCCGTACAGCCCTGGAACCTAACTCAACCATAAGTAGTAGAAAGTGGCAGAAAACCCAACTTGTTAGGCAATTACCTACTTTAATATAATTTGTTTGAAAAAGACATCAACGAGTTCATTCATAACATTTTAAAATGTTCTACTTATGAGTTCATTATCTTAACTACCAAAAACAAACCCTCTTTCAAACTTATTCTTCGTTCTTAAAGATACACATATATTGAACTTTATATTGATTCTAAAGGGAATCTAATGTTTTTATATTTAAGCAACGCATGTTCATATATAGAGAGAGGGTTATATTTTTGCTCTATAAGCTTAGACAATCATATTAATTTTAGGCAATTCACAACACATGAAAATTCTTACGCTTCTTCCTTAAATTTCTTTGACAGCTTATTGCAAAACGACTATGCTAGGCAACCAGCGCGATTAAATCTTTTAATGTGGTAAGTGACGAGGAAGAGTGCTGGACAATAAAATTGACATGATGACTTTGCGTCGTTTTAATAGCACTTTATTGCAAAAAAAAAGTTAAAAAAGCAGCACGCAACACATTGTTGTTTTAAATTAAAGGTACTTATACAATTAAATGACTGCATCGATGGACAAGCAATAATAAAACAAAAACATAAGAAACGCTAGGTGCTATCTTCGCCGCGCAGATAGAAAAGTAGAGCTAAGCCACACTACACTTTAATGCAAAGAGCTAATGCTAGTGCCAAGCCTAGAGAAATAGCCGCGTTTATAAGCTGATGCGAGCTGAAACATTTGAGAAATAGGTATATATTAAAAAAACTATTGCTGTCAAGCATTGGCAAATACCGTGTGATAAGGACAACAGTAACTAACACTGAAAATTGCGTATAAAAAATTCGAAATTCGAGGTTTGGCTCTCGACGATTTCCTCCTCGAAAAATAGATTTGATGATAATAAGTAGTTATACTATGCCTCTAATTTTTTGTAAATGCTTATTAAATCTTCACAATAGACGTCTTTAGTGGTGATAAAAATCTATCTATTTTTGGCCTTTTTGAGGGCTTGTAGTTTCTTTGAAACACAAGTTATCGAGAAAAGGAAGACAGCAGGATAGAATGAGTAAAATTATAATTTATGTATGAAAACCAATTCTTTAGTGATAAAAATGATGGAGGAATCAGATTACAACGTTTGTATGGAAAAAAGATAGCGCGGCTCCCCTCTTAAAGTATACTTATCCACAACATAATGATATTAACATAGGTGCAGCGTACCTACACCGGGAGAGGCGCGACTACTACGCGCGGTGACTCCGAGCCTGGCCAAAAGCCACGGAGCGCGCGCGTCATCTTTGAGCGCACAGACAAGGGCAAATCCAGGGGAGGGGTCATGACCCTCCCCCCTGGGCTGGGTACATACCTACTTTTTACTTGTATCTTTTATTGATAAAATTTAATTAAAACTTTTTATGGCGCCAAAGCTGGTTCCGCCCATGCGCACAGAACATGTATTTTTTGAAGTTTGCGATGATTTTTTTAAAATAATGATATACTTAGGAATTAAGGTTTAACTTCTCAGTATCTTAGCCATGCCTTTCCCGGTGTGTGCTGAGCTTACGTGTCTACTTACAGCAAGCGTGCGTGGCTGGTACAAATTCAATTCGTCTCAGGTATGAAGGTTTTATAGTTATTTTAGCAGCAATAGTATTTTATTTAATAATGATTAAAGATATGATACGAAATACGACCGTAATGCATGTAATTTATGAGTTAGGACTTAGGACATTTAAGGGGTATTTTCGTAGACATGAGACAGTCTAGTCTGTTATAGTCCATGAAGGTCATGATCGATATTTCTTTCAAGTTTCTCTTAACTTGTGTTTTTTTTTTTGACGCTTTAAACCTGCCAGATCATGCATGGTTGCTATAATTGCGCTTAGTGTAATAATAACTCATCACTCAACAAAGGAGATTGCTCAAATTGGCCTAAATGCACAAAAAATATTGACATACACGGTAATTCTTGGCGTAATTTATAATTTAATTTACAGTCATTAGATTTCAACGGACACCTTTGTATAATATATTTACTTTAAAAAAGACTTTTAATTTTACCGGTTTGGAAAGCATACGAATCATTTTTAATGGCTTTGGGTGTAGTAACATTCAGTCATTCAATTATTATAGATGGTAGGCGACATCATAAAGTCTATTGCCATACATTTTTCGCCAAACACCTCCATAAACACATTATAATCTGTATATATGTTAGACTTTAAGGTCTAAGGACTTAAGGTAGGATCTATGGGCCTACGTTCCCTGACTATAAATTAATAAATAAATAAAATTATAAGGTGTGATACACTAAAAATCTAAAATATGGTTATCTTCAAATCATAACAAAAATAATGAAGCTACTGAATATATGGCTATAGAACCTAAATCTCTTGGCTTTCTTTGGCTAACGAGAATTTAAAAATTCTCTCTAATCTGTGGCTCCTTCAAAATCATCACACAGTTTCTGTCACAGAGTACCTTATTATAAACGGAAATGACACCTGATTTTAAAAGTTACTCTTATGCATTAACTTTAAAAACAGGCAACTATCTGTTAATCT